CCCAATAAAAATAGGGGCACATGAGTGGCAGCTGCTGTCAACACACAACAATGATCAGATCTTTAGATTCTTGGTTGATGAAGCAGCTGTCAATGTGGTGGATGCAGCACAGAAATTTGACACAGATGTTTCACCATTTTTTCTGTTTTTTTCCTTCTTGGTTTAATGAGTGGAACACATTGGTTATTCCTCATGCCATTGAAGTCAACGGCAGCCCATAGAAGATATTGCATGCAAGTTATGAAATTTGGGACACTGATACAGTTGGCTCTTGTAGGTAATCTGACCCAATTTTGACCCTCTAACTTAAACTCTCTAGCGCCACCACTAGTCCAAAGTTGCACTTATCAGTGCTGCTGTTAATTCAAGTCATGTTTTACTTTGTGTAGTTGCTTTATTTATGGTTCTCTGCCTCTTTCCTTTGCCTAAGTATCTCTTTTATTGGCACAGACCTAGCATCAGAGCAGATTACCCTCCTGTCTATGTTACGTATTAGCATGGGAGTTGGTTTTCTTGTAGTTTTTTTATTTCTCTCTTGTACTATGCATCCACTCCCTACCCTTGAACTCTCTAAAGGTTCTTGGTTGGTGAGCTGTCTGGTCTGATTGTTGTTGTGTTGGCATCTTTGGATCACATAACCTCTTGCATGGGGATTGGCTGACTCTATGTTTTGCCGCAGTCACACTATGTAAAAAATTCTATTGACTTGAATGACATCGCATCAAACAATGTGAAATTGGAACTTCTATTCCTCTGGATTCTGACAGAAAGTTCAGCTGGGAGGAACTTTGACCTGCTATATGGCATCACTTGACTCGATTTCAGCCACCAGATTCGAGAAGTCATTAGCGTGATGTTTTTGAATAAAGAGTGGTCACACTACTCCTGAACAATGCGGAATTTCACCGCATGTACTTATCCTGTATGATCCCAGAATCTAATTCTTTAGATAAGAATTAGCACATACATGCTAATCCACATGGTTCACATGATTATAGAACCAGGATTTTCTGCAAATTCAGTAATTTACCAAACATGTGCATTTTTACACTATACTAATTAAATCTCTGAAATAATAACAGGAAATATGTTTGTAAATGATGCTCCAAAATATCACAAAATCATCAAAAATGTAGCAATTGAGAGAACTTACCTTTCCTCTTCCCATGGCCTTCTAAAAATCCAAGTGATTCAACTACCTGCTGAAAAACTGACTTAGGAATTCCCCGGTTTTTCACAAGTGGTATGGTTTAGAGTAACAGGAATGAGTAAAAAGCTGGGGGCATGGCTAAAATATGGTTTTTTTTATCTAAGAAAGTATAGATATTTGTGTAAATAAATCTATTTGAAAGAAACAATCATTCATTCATTATCCTGCCTGCTTATTCCCTTTCAGGGTCACAGGGGTCTACTGCTGCTCCAGCTCACATTGGACGAGAGGCGGGTGTACACCCTGTGCAGGTTGCTAGTCCATCACAGTGAAACAAATATTATATATGGATTTAGATATCAATGCAAAAGAAAGGTTGTTTTTAAAATATCTTAATCATTATATTTTATTGTGTGGGGTATCATGACTGGTGACAAGCATGAAATGCTATTTTTATGGATAAATAAATAACATTTATGTGTATTTTATCAATGTTTTAAATGTTTCAGCTTAAATGTGCACTAGGAACAGCATGTAGTACACTTTGTTTGGTAATAAAATGTATTCATGAGGCAATTATAATGCATATTTATATATAAGAAGTCACAGGCACAGAATTGGCACATTCTGCGTGATAAATCAGTGTCCTGACCAGTCAAAAAATGTACAATTGCTTTACATCCAGTAAGCAAAAAACTCATGCATCTGACCTCTCCAATCTGGTCGCTCAAGTTATGATGTTTTCTCCTCTCCAAGCTCTACCAAGGACTACAGATGGAGGTACACGAAATTAACATTATCTTCTAATGTATGCTGCACAATAACACAGATGCAGGTGAGGGTGGCAAAATTAGGCGGAAGTGTAATTTGCTCCAAGTGAACTTACCCTAGTAAACTGTATAAACAAATATGATGTGATCATTGGTAACAGTACACACCTGATGTTATTAATTCTTGTGATTCCTTCTTTTTTCTGTTTAAATCACCACTTTTTAAAGTCGTCATGAGCCATGGGTGTTGAAAAGATTTCATAGATTTTATAACAATGCAGTATTGTGATAAAATAGGCATCACTGTGCATATTTATCTCCTACAAGATTGTATGTAAGAATATTAGTATAGATATTTATAGTATAGTATGTCTAACTACTGTACAAATTATGTGGATGAGCCATTCCACCGAATGGGTGCCATTTCTTTTTCTGGGACTTTATTTGTATACATTTATTTGTAGTACTATTACTATTGCAAATTTAAGCTAACATTTAACATATTGATACAATCCACATAAACACTGACACATATTATTTATTGCTTGTCCCCAGACTTTGATGCTACACTTCACCATAAAATATAATAATTAAGATCTTTTAAAAAGCTGTCTGTTGCATTGATGTGTAAAACTATATATATATTTTTTCAAATACATTTATTGACACATTTATTATCTATAGTTTCTTAGATTAAGAAACACATGTAAGTCATGTCCCCAGGTTTTTTCTATTACTTATATCCTTTATCCATCCTCCTACTGAAAAACTAGGGAATTTCCATAAGTCAGTTTTCCAGCAGGTAGTTGCATCACTTAGATTTTTGGAAGGACATGGGAAGAGCAAAGGAAAGTTCTCGCAATTTCTTATTTACATATTTGATGATTTTATGATTAAAAAAAATACTGTTCTGTTACTAAATTTGCTTAAATTTCCTGGTTCTATAATCACATGTTTCATGAAGCTTATTTAGCAAGTATTTGCTAATTCTTTGCTAAAACAGCACTGTTACTTATACATAGAGTAACAAGAGGATTAGTAACTAGAAAAAAACTAGAAGCATTCTTATTATAAATCTAATAAAACATACTGAAGATGGACCAATACCCATTTGGAATACTTATGCAGTTACAACAAGCAAATGCCAGCGATTGGGTAAATTGGTTCAGATAAAACAGTATATTTTAATTTCTCAAAAATCAGTGAACCATTAGCAATGATACGATACTGTACCTCCACTCATGCCTTGCGTGTATAGAAATGGTTGCTTTATGATGAAAAAAAATTGTTTGCATTTCTTTGCTTGTAATTTAATTCCTGTAAGTTTACTGTGATTCTCGTCTGCCACCTAGTGGTCGTGAATGACTTGCACAAGACTTCAAATAAATGCTGTTGAAACGCAATGAAACTCTCAAATCTCACATAAAATTCTACATAAAATGACAAGAACAGAAATATATTTCTTAAGCGCCCTCGGTTCAACAACTGTACACCCTACTGCGTGTTTGTGTGTAATAAATTGTTTAACATCTGTTTAATGTCTAAGCCACACAAAAACAGATTTACTAACCTCCGTAGAGTGCAATACTCTGCTGATGTAAAACAATAGCTGTCAGTGGTATTACACAACCATTAATCCAGATATTTCACTGGGCTTTAAACCCAGTACAGCTCATGCACACAAAGACATATGGGGCAAAAGTGACTGAAATAGCATCTGACCCTGGGAGAATGAAAAAATCGCTTTCAACTCTGTACGGGCCTCTCTTCGCTTTGAAACGAGGCTGTGCAAAGTAAGTACTTTGCGTTACAAATCCGTCATGGTCATCATTTCTGCACGGTTCACCGAGAACTGCCGTCTGCACAAGATTCACGTCATTGCTCAGGGATACAGAGTAAGATTAATTGGTCAGTTTTTCTATTCGAAAAACAAATGAGAGAAACTGTAATTAAAATCATGCATCAAGCACAAAGTCTATATTTCGAAAGGTAATCACATTGCATGTTAATGATTAACTTTACAGTTTTTCCATTACACATTCTTCAGTAATGTACACCTAAGTTTATTATGTTGAAACATAATAGAGAAATGGGGGTTTGGTAATGTTATTAATCACAGAGCACTCCCTAGCAACCAAATGGTTTAGCCTAGCAACCAAATTCTTTCATTTAAAATCTCAGCTTTGAAAAATAATTACATGGGGATTGGTTTATATAAATTATAGTTAAAAGGAGAACATTATATGTCACTGACTCCTCCATAGTAACCAGACTGTTTTTCTTAGTAACCAATTTGGCATATCTCTATCTCAGCGTTGGAAAATGTCAGAGACATGATGTTTGGTTTGTTATCGACATGGGGAACATTATGTTGTGTCATTGACCCCTCCATAACAACCAGACTCATCAATTAATTTACCGTTTTATTATGTCACTAACTCCTCCATAGCAACAATAGAATGTTTACCATAGTAACCAATTAGTAAATCTTAGTAACCAATCATAGTAAATATTTATCTCGTCTCATGAAAATCATAAAGACATGGGGGTTAGCTTAGGTTACTCGTTGTGACATTTAGAAATCGACACTAGTATAAGCCAACATCAAAGTTTGTGTAACCATCTAGTTTAAATCTAATATCCACATACAAAAAAAAATAATTACAAAATGTACTTGCTTTTTAGAAGGTTCGCAAATGATGTCATGGTTCCTGGAAGTTGTGGAGTGAGTGGCAAAAGCCTATTAAAGTTTGAAAAAGTACGTTTTGTCATCACTTTGACTTGTGCTAGCTAAATTTCACACATAGTTATACATATTCCCACCAGAGCTTTCAATTAATGTGTATTTGAAAGGCACCATGTAGATTAATATAAAATATAATTTCTGACCTTTTCCACTTAATAACACTATGCGCTATAAGGGTTAAATGTGCCCCAGATAATTGCCTTCTTATTGAAGAAGGGTCTACTATCACTTTTGGTACAGCTGCCTTTATTTACATTTACATTTATGCATTTGGTAGACGCTTTTATCCAAAGTGACTTACATTTGAATGAACATATTTTTTCTGTCAGTTCTTGCTTTCCCTGGGATTTGAACCCACAACCTTTGAGTCATTAGCGCAATGCTCAACCAACTGAGCCACAGAAAGGAGTCTGCAATTTATATAAATGTTTTAAAGCATTTTCAACCACACCTGTGTCTAATATCTCATTAACTCTTCCCCTTTACAGTGGTACCCCGAGATATGAAATTAATCCGTTCCAGGGTGGCTTTTGTATCTCAAACATTTCGTATCTCAAAGCAAGTTTTACATGTAAAACGCCCAATGGCTCTCAGAAACTAAAGTATAAGTTGATAAAAAAAAAGGAAAACCAGAGAAAAATCAAATAACGTTTCTTCAATCCTTGAATCTAAACATTGTTAATGTAAGAAATAAAAATAAAACAGAATAAAACATGTGCAAAATACGTAATATGTACACAAATGTCAAACCTTACCTTGAGAGTGACGTGAAGTGGTGGAGGTGGTGGAACAGGTGGCAGAAAACATTACGGCACTACGTATGAAAGTTAACTTTCTCGAGATATTTTACGAATTATGAACAACAACACGGTTTCAAGCACAAGCGGAGACAGTACTGAGCGTACAGGAGAGAGAGCTTCTGAGAACGCGTCACAGGGTTTCTCTGAGTTGCTCTACAGAAAAGTAGATTCCACTTTACAAACGTTATTACTTTTAGGACACCTTAACTCAAACTTTTGTTATAGCACGTTATTGGTAATCCATTCAAGTTTCGCTTGATTTAAAACTGATTTAAGGTGTTTTAAAGCTTAACAGCCTCCAGGACCCGGCAGAGCAGTGCGACGTCAGACATAACAAGCGGACAATAGAGCAGAACTGTCTGTGTTTTCGTATCTTGGAATTTTTTCGTATCTCGAAGCAAAATATTTCCCGCAACCTTTCGTATCTGATGGCAGACATTGTGTGTGGCGTCATGTAGGTGAGTGGTTTTCTGATGTCAATGTCGTGGATTGAGAGGCCATGGTGGTGCTGGGGCTATGGTATGGACAGGCATATGTTATGGGTATGGGCAGCAGGATATGGCACACCTGTGAGGTGGGATGGATCATCTTGGGAAAGGAGAAGTGCTCACTATCACAGATTTAGACAGAATTGTGAACAATACTTCAGAGAAATGGTTATTTTGTGTTTGTAGAAAATGTTTCAGATTCATTTGAGGTAAAAATGGGAGCAATAACAAAAGTGTTACTTTTATATTTTTGTTCAGTGCATTTATATTTTAATTTATTCATTTTCCATCCCACTTATTCCCTTTTTTGGGGTCATGGGGGTCTGCAGCACACATTGGGCGATATATATTATGTCAGTAATTAAAAGCTAGCATTGCTCTGATGATGTTTACTGATCAGTGAAAATGCAGATTGTATTCAATCCTTCATTTATTTTTAGATTTTAAAGAGTGAAATCTGTATACGTTCTTAACAGAGACAATAGAGTAGATAGTTGAAGTAGATAGTTGAATGACTATTTTAATCATTTCTATAATTGACCATCTGTTAAGATACAGAGACATCCGTAAATGTGCAGTCGTCAGATAAATCAATATATTGAATGATTGCAGGGCGACCAACAGTGTTTTGGATTTGCCCTTTGGCTTTTCAGACACAACAAAATGAACAAAAGCAAAGAGCTGAACCTCAGCTGTGAGAATGCAGCTCATCACAGGAACAATAGACATCTATATTCCGCTCTCATAAACACATTCCTTGTTTTATTTCCCCTTGTGTCTAAAGCATTCATTCTTTCGTCCCCACAAGGCACTGGTTTTATTATATTGGGGTTTTTTTTAAAGAAGTGATTTGTTGGTAAGCAAGATTTAGACACTTTCTTTGGCAAGGCCTGTTTCATGTCCTTTGGGGAATCTTTTGAACAAACGGAGGGACAGATAGAAAGAAGTCGAAACACTGCTGCTCTGACCGTTATTTCCAGAAGCTCATTTCTGGAGTGCGTGCTTGTGTTTCAGTTCCATTCTTATCAAGACAACCACATTTATTTATTTTTTTCTTGCAACAACGTCTTGTGTCTTCCTCTTAAATCGTCCTAAAGTGGATTTATTTTGATGCTGGATTATCGCTTGTTTTTTTTCCACCCAAATTTAATCAACCGGATGTTCATCAACAGTTTGGACCTGAGAATAATTATGTTGCTCCATCTGCTCAGAGCTTTTCTTCATCTGAACATTTATTCTCATTCCAGAGATACAGATGTCGTCCCCACCTTCAGTTCAATCATAACTAAGAGTCTGGATTTTGTGAAAGCAGTGGATTTAAATGGTGAGTTAATAAATATTTAATATATTAAAAAAAATGTCCTTTAATTTAATTCATTTTTTACATATTTTATCTGTGTAGATTGTAAAATTCACTTTTCAGAGAGAGTAGTTAAATTAGCAGAGTGGGAATAATGAGGGGTTTATTGAAGTATCGATGAGAGTATTTCAGTATTTTAGATCATTAGTGGTGAAGAGCGTTTGTTGTCAACAAGTAGAATCCCTTTAGAATACCTTTACAAATTTGGAAATAAAATGAAATATACAAATTAAATTTATGATTAAATAACTCAAAGTCAGTTTTACTTTATAGTCTATATAGAGTGGCTTTCTATACAGTCCAAGTAGAGTTCATTTAACTCTCAGGTATATTGTGCATTTGGTTTATATGGAGGTCAAGAGATTTAAGGGGGGCTCTATTTAAATTTGTTTACATTTTTTTGGCATGTATCAAAAGAAACAACAAACAAAGGGCTTGATCAAAGTCACCTCAAAGTCTCATGACCCCAAGGTGGTGCAAATGAGTCAATATATAAGTCTAAGTCTAAATATATTCTGGTATTGTTTTGGCCAAGACTCTTGTCATGAATATCCATATTGGTACCATATCAATATTAAATGTTGTTCCTCCTTTGGCTACCTGGTGGCGCTATTACCAAGAGAGTACATTGTAGATGTGTTCAGACCTGGACTGTTAACATAATTGGTACATTTGGGACCAATCAGGAATCGTGTGATTACTTATAACAACTTTCTGATGAAATGTCGATTTTCAACGGTCCCCCATATTCCAACCTGCTTATTCCCTTTTGGGGTTATGCTGGTGCCTATATCCAGCGCACATTGGGTGACAGGCGAGGGTACACCCTGAAGAGGTCACCAATCTATCGCTGGGCAATATTCACTTACAAATTCACAGTGGAATTTTGATTATTCAATTAATCTAACCACTTGTTTTTGGGATTGTGAGGGAAACCGAATTACCATGAGGAAGCCCACTGGGAGAACATGGAAACTTCTTCCTTCCGGCGAGTCTTGAACCGACAACCTTCTAACTGGTAGCTAACCCTCTACCCACTGTGCCACTGTGCCGTGTGGATAGATTAGCAAAGTCAAAAGAACTTTGCAATTTAACCTTCCATATACATTGATATGAGACTGATGGAGTCTGGAGGTGAAAATATCTACAAGTTAAAAAAAGCAGATTTCCTGGTGATTTTGGAAACTCACTGCAATTGACTTTTTTGTAGGTCACGATCTCCTACATAACTGTTTCAAATATCAAACGTAATCAAAAAGCAGGAGAAAAGGGATATTAATTGTGGCCACTACAAGGCGCTGTTACCGACACTGTAGGTCGCTATATCGTGTTCAGACATCAGCTGTGTCTCGATCCAGGTTCTAGAGGACTTTGGATGATCCTTCCAATCCAGCCTCCAAGGCTGCAGAGTATGCTCTAAAGGCTGCATAAACCCTTGGTAAACGGGACGTCTTGCTTCTTCTTTTGTCGTTTTTTGGCAGTTTGCTTATTGTACATTAGCGCCACCTGCTGGATCAGTAGTTTGGATTCTGTGTCTGATCAGGAGTTTAGGGTTTATTTTGATTTCTTTATTTTTTGTCTTTTTTAACACATTGTATTAAAACATGCTCCGCATTTTTGTTTTGGTTGCATTGGTAGATTATTTTATTTTTTATGTTGTGTGTAATGACAGTCTAGCTTCATTCTGTTTTCATGAGTTTTATAAATGACATTTTATTAATGACATCCACAAAATCGTGTTACATGTGAATACAAATTAAAGTGTGTTTTGTGTTGTTTTTAATTTAAAATGACGCAAATAACGGATGCATATGAAGGGTCCATTTTAAGGATCATTCCAGTTTTGGTGAAATGAGACAGCCTTGGTGCACCGTTTTGACATAAGTGGTCTTGAAATACACACTCGGGAGGACGCACACTTCTGGATTAGGACACAGCTATGGACTCTAAACTCACATGGCAAATTTCATCCCAATCTGATATTGTATAGCTGAGTTATTAACAACTTCCTGCTTCATAGGGAAAATAGAAATTTAGAAGACCGCCAAGCACGTTTGTTGTTGATCACGTGAAATCTTTAGGAGTTAGTTAAAGTATAAGGCCTGGAATTTCACCAAATTTGTCAAGAAAATTAAAAATGGCTGACTTCGCACCAAATGACTTTTTGTAGAGTTCCAAATTTCAAACACAGTCTGAAATAGCAGTATAAAACTGAAGAAACTTTAAGAACTATCTTTGACGTTACAGAAGAACAAACTATGGAAGTGATGAAATAATCCCCACAGAGCAGAGATCATCATTTTAGTGTGTCTGGGATTGCATGTAGAAGATCTGTGGTGTTTAGATGTTTAGAACAACCTTCCAGCAGAGTTGCTTCGAAAACTGTACAAGTGCTTCTTGGAGAATTGCTGCTGTTTTGAAAGCAAATGGTGTTTGATGGTGAAATCTGTGAGAAAAAAAAAATTAAAACATGAAAGAATTCTTTGTTTCTAGCATTTCTTTCACACCTGCGTAAAACAGCACGGAACTGTTGTTGTTCACAGTGCACTATGTCCTTGAGTGACTTGCAGCGAGCAAATTAAATGTGATTTTATTCATTCATTCACTCATTTTCCAACCCGCTTATTCCCTTTCGGGGTCATGGGATGTAATTTAATATATATATATATATATATATGCTGATGCTCTATGCCCAGTAGATGGCAGCACATATTTACATTTATGTGAGGCAAAATATTTGAATGTACAGTTTTTTTTA